TTATAGTACAGTAAAATTTCTTTTACTCAATATATAGGCCTAATTAATAATGTATTGACTATATCTTTGATTTTCTTCTATGGTATAGGCCTAAGTAAGAATGAGCTAAAATCACTTGACCTTTTTTTAAGAGGGGTAAAATCTTGAATTTTGAAGATATTAAAGGTCAATGAAAGACACCACAGACTGTCTCTTATACACATCTAGATGTGTATAAGAGACAGATATAATATAGATTAAAATGTAAAATACTGAAAAACAAGAAGGCTATGGGAAGCGATGGCTGGATTTCGGTAGAGGTACAAATTTTATAAGCAACAGCTAAAAAGTAAACGTAAGTAAACAGCCAGAAATAGAGCCAGAGCTTTCGGACAACAATAGTCCTTCCTCGGTGGCCAGTCATGTATCAAATAAAACGCGGGTAAAAGGTATAAATTTGCCAGGTTTTGTTAATGAAGATTACACAAACTTTATACTCTGTATATTTACATACACTGATACCGTACAAACAATATATTGCAAAGTTGTTTTTTTTTTTAAATTTTATTTTCAGCCGTTTTGCATGGAGAACCAAGTTCATCATTGCTAGTCTTGCGAAAAGGAAAACCGATGCTGCTGGTCGATGTTGGACTTGGTGTGATTCGCTCGTACAGAGAAAACATCGGTGTGAATTCAAAAAGTTTTGTTTATGTTTAGACGTTATACAGGTTCAAATTTTGAATTCTGTAATAAATTGAGATTATTGGACGAAAATACAAATATAGGCATATTTACATATTAGGCAAGGACGGATCCAGCCTGGTAAGAAAAAGTGGGTGTGAATATGCGAACAGAGTGACAGTCTCAGGGAAGAGCCCCTGGAACAGGTGCAAGGGGTTAATCCTCCTAAACTTCCAGAAACTCCAAAAATTTAAGTTTGCATTTGATTGATTTTTACTATTTAGCATGGTAATATTTTGACAAAAAAAAAAGTTACGAAAACAGAGGGGGCGTACGCCCCTTATTCCCCTCTAAATCCGCCACCGTTAGGCCAATTATGATTTTATGGAACATTATTTATTGATCCCTAATTCATCTTTCTATCCTGATTCGTCCGTCTTTTGATTTGTTATAATAATGTACCTTTCTGCCCTTGGCCTATGTGGGACCTTAGCAACAATTGCTGTGTACGCACACACTGGCGCTTGTGGTACAGCACTAGAGGTCAGTGGGCAGCACCACTGATCTCTACTATTATAGTACAGTAAAATTTCTTTTACTCAATATATAGGCCTAATTAATAATGTATTGACTATATCTTTGATTTTCTTCTATGGTATAGGCCTAAGTAAGAATGAGCTAAAATCACTTGACCTTTTTTTAAGAGGGGTAAAATCTTGAATTTTGAAGATATTAAAGGTCAATGAAAGACACCACAGAAGTCGGGAAAGCTCATTTCCGGCCATCTAGGAATCAAAATTTTTCCCGATGGAGGACCCCCGACCACCCTTTCATTTTTGGGTTTTTGGGAACAATTTTGAACCTCCCTCTTTCAAATCCTGGATCCGCCCCCGATTGATACGCAAGCATACTTCAATTTCAGATTTTCTTTACGCAATAATAAATTTTCTTTTACTCAATATATAAGCCTAATTAATAATCTATTGACTATATCTTTGATTTTCTTCTATGGTATAGGCCTAAGTAAGAATGAGATAAAATCACTTGACCTTTTTTTAAGAGGGGTAAAACCTTGAATTTTGAAGAAATTAAAGGTCAATGAATACTTCAATTTCAGCTTTTCTTTACCTTTAATGTAGACCTTTGATTTTTTTTTTGTAGGTAACATGTTGCCGCCTAGAATGTTCATTACCCACAACCACTGTGACCACGCGGCTGAGTTAGCCTTGGGTTTGATTCTCACAGTCAGCGAGATGAAGAAGCACAAGCTGACCCCAGAATTCCACTTGTACTGCGGACCGGAGGTACAAACGAAACTGATGGAGCATCGATTTGATGAGATTTACAGTGCCTGTCCAAAAGTAAGTTTAAAATTGTTTATGGGTCTATTCACTCCACTGCACCTACTTTACTAATAAATGTTCAAAAATATTCTTTCCATAGCCCTAAAATTGGTAGGTGGTTATTCATAACGTATTTTGTATACAAATTATGCAAATCAGTAAAACAGAATTGTTGTGATCCACTCTCATTGGAAGATGACAACTTATTTGTTTCTCTTACATGTGCAACTCAATGTTTTACATAAATTTGTTAGACAACTATCACATCTATCTATTCATTGCGGTATGTTTAATATATAGTTTTGCAAAGAAACCAATCCATGAGTCTCTGAGTCGTCATCGGCATCGTTATTGCAGTTTCAAATTGTTTTAAAGTCACATGTTTGTAATTATTAATTTAATATTTTATACATTGTTCTTAAGATTTACGATTGTAGTTAATATTGAAGTATTACATGGTATCAGTGACAGCTCTAGGATATATTTTCTGGGCGAGGGGGGCTAAGTTGTCCGACAGGGGGATTTGAGCTTGTAGGCTCGAGCTGGAGGAGGTGGCTGAGAGGGGTTCCCCTTCCAAATGAGATTTTTTTTTTAAGAATAGCTACCTCTGGATGGCCGGAAATGGCACTCTCAGACTATGACAGACATGTGTTGGCTTGGAGTGGGGCTATTTTTATATGTTTTATGGTCTGAATGTCCGACAAGCTCTGTCCAATGGGGGAGCTTGACCTGTCTGGTGGCGTGTCCGTTGGTGGGGAACTTAAGCCCCCTTCCCCACTGACGCCGCCACTACATGGTATTACAATGCACAACAGTATTAAGTTGTTTTCTAATACCACATTTGCCATACGTGTAAAGCACAGATTAAGTCATTGCTTTATATATATTTGCTATCCAGGAAGAGTTCTCGAAATATGTTACCTGGTACATTTGTGAACCTGGCCAGATGATTGCAGTTGATGAACAGGAAGAATTCCATCTCACATCACACAAAAGTCAACACAGCGAAGTTTGTTATGGTTAGTATATAATTAAAAAAAATACAAAGTGTTTTTCCTAAACCCACATTAATTCACTCATCAATCTGTGTCATTTAGTAAGGTAAAACTACTTCGGCTTTGTCGACAACATAAAACATCCAACATACAGTACTATATAGGCCTATTACGTTAAAAAGTACGGTAGCCCGAGACTACCAATTCTTAATTTGATTCTTTGGTAAATTGTCTCTGATTAGTTTTAGGATATTTCATGGGTTAGTTTTCTTTTTTTTTTTCGTATACTTAAAGCGCTTTGCGACGATTTGTAATTAAGGCACTATACAAGTTGATTTCCATTTATAATTTTACTTCATCTGGTTTATGTGGTTTTAAGCTACTGATATAAGTAATTCCTACATGTAAGATTATTGTTAAATTCTTGCACAGTGATATGTGTATCACTCTGTATGCTATCTCATGCAATTTACATTGTGATTCGTTCGTTGTGCTTCTTTGGGCCAATCTCTAAATGTATGTATGTATGTATGGTGTGTAGTATATTTCTATATAGGCCTATCTATCTTGACGTTTCCATGATAATAACAAAAATAAAATACTGAATTATCCATATTAAATATTTAATAAGTCATTTCAGATTTTTTAAAACTTTTTTAAAAAAAATAAATATTATGTATTAACATATCATAGTAATAATTGTTGTTATAGGTTTTACACTGTATCGTAACGGTACCCGCTTGTTTGGTTTCACTGCTGATTCCGGCTTCAATCAAGAAATGTATGACAACGTTTTCAAGGCTCCAATGGTCATCGTGGATGCACGTACAGAAAAAAGCTATGAGCATGCGTCCTTTGGCGAGGTTGTACAATATATGAAGACACATGAACAAAAGAGCTCGTCAGTGTATGTTATTGGATATGGCACAAATGAAGAAGGACCGGATCTGGAAAAAACTTGTTTGAACCAAATGAGACAGGGAGATTTTTACAACTTGTGAATTTCAACACATACATCGATGGCGTCTGCATTTCCCAGACTGGTGTCCACACCCGCCCCCACCATGTTCGGTTAAAAAATAATAGGTAGTGTCATTTCAAGATGCTCAAAAATTGCACACTCAGCCAGAAAACCCTTCCAATAGGAAAACAGTTCCTCGCCCCGCTGGAAATCCTTTGTATTAGACGCTATTTGTCGTCAGCCACCTTATGGATGATATTTTAAGCTATTAGGTTCAATATTTGTGTTTTGTATTTCTTATTGTGTTAGTTATGACCTTCGTTAAGACACTATTATTTAAATGACCATGCTTTCTCCAGCTCCAATTTAACGATAATTTTTTTAATGAATATAAATAATAAATAAATATATAAATATTTATACACACATTATATATATATATATATATATACACTTATGATGTGTGTATGTATATTATATATAAT